CTCTTTCCCTTCTGATGCACATTTTGGGTTGAGATTTTTCTCGATACCCTTCATCTCTGCGTTCAGGCTCCCATACCAACCACTAAAACCTTCTTCCCCAGTCTCCCACATCGATCAGGAGAACAAAAAAAAAAAAAAAAAAGCTATGGGGAGAGAAAGAATGGGGGAAATATGCTCGGTTAAAACGCCAAAATTTTCTTTTTCCTAACTCAACCACAAATATACACTTTGTACATGGGATGAGAAGCCAGGGTTCAGCCGTTAAGCTTGGCCAAGAACTGGGACAGATTGTACTCTTCAGTGTACTGCGATTGATCCCAGAGCTCCTCCAGTCCACCAAGGATGGCTTTTAACCCCTTCCCAGTGCCCATTAATTTTCGATCTCCATCGAAGTTGCCGTCTGTGCGCTTTGAAGCAGTAGCTCCCTGGAAATAAAACCACAACAAAACATCACCGAAAGGAGATTGGGGAAAAAAAGGTTAGTCAAATTTGGGCTGGCCTTAAGATAAAAAAATAACATCAAAGAAACAAAAACATCAGTAAATAAAAAGAAAAGATTCAATGCATTTTCTCGGAACATGGTTACAACTTTTCTTAGCAATACCTTTGCTCTGGTTTCAGCTGACGCAAACAAATCGAGCAACTGATCTGTGTTCATTGTTTTCAGACTGGCATTCTCTGCATTAATAACAGCATTGGCAACCGACACTTTGAACTTTTGGAGACTCATAACTTTCTCTTCCAGAGTGCCACGCATGATCAGGCGATGGACATTCACAACTTTCTTTTGCCCCAATCTGTGTGCCCTGTCCATTGCCTGCAAGTATGTCACATGACATAATTAACTAGATAAGCCATTTCAAATCAAAGAGAGGCGGAGAGCTACACCTCTTTGACAGAAATTCAAGCATATCCAAACTACAAAGTTATCAAGGAAATCATGGGGGTCCATATACTAACAAAAGACCGCATTTGATTTCATCATGGGGGTACAAATCACCTGCAATGCCCCAGCTTCTGAAACTTCAGCAATGCTTATAAAGCATAGGTCGGTTTGGCAAGCATGTAGATTATGTGTTTGGGAGTGCTTTTGCTTCCGCTTCTGCTTTTGGATACTTTTCAAAAGTGCTTTTGGCTTGGAAAAACATCAAATTGATAATTTCTTTTTTTGTGTTTTATGATGGTTTTGATGTGCTAATGTCAAAAATAGAACAAAAATCTGAAAAATCCATTTTGATGTATTTGTAAGTGAAAAGCTATTTTAAAAAGCACTCTGCACCACAACCCCAAGCACACTAAAGTTGACATTTCATTGGCATATCAATTGTGCTGGTAAGTCACTTAGATGAACGCACTTATAATGATATATTAATAAATTTAGAAGTGTATGTAACATCCAACAGGGCCACTGAAATTTTGTGAGGTGTTGAAGGTTGCCTGGCTTCCAACTAGTAGAATAACCTTTGGGCAGTGAATTGGTAAAGTTCCTAACAAGTTACACGACAGGCAACACATGGTGCAAAGATTACAAATACCATTTGGACAAAATGACGATGGGAAAACATCTCAGACAGAGTTTTCTTACCTGAAGATCTCGCATTGGATTCCAATCATGCTCCATAAAGACAAGGGTGTCAGCAGATGTAAGATTCAAACCAAGCCCACCAACTGCCAAGAGAGCCATAAGATAAATAAACTTTAGTAACTTAAACAACTGGAGAAGCAAGGTTATCAAAATCGCAGTCCAAGTCATAAAATCACCCAATTTCATGATGCAATATAAGTTGGCCGATTCAAATCGCTTAAAAAATTGCACTGTGCTCATCATGATAAAATCACCTTTTGACTTGGTGAAATCAAGAACTCATGATTTTAACAACCCCAGTTTGCAGCCTTTTGGGCTTAGTTTTAACTGTTATTCATGATTTAACACCTCCCAAAATTAGTCTATCATTCACTCAGCAAGAGCTTGAGTGCAGCTCTAAATGCATTCCAAACTTCCCAAAAGCCATAGAAGACGAACATAAAGAGAGATGAATAGATGACAGAATGAAGATGAATAGATGACAGAATGAAGAAACAGAAAGATTGAGCTCGCAATAGTATCCCTCAAGATCATGGTCCTTGTCCAACTTAAAGAAAAATTAGCCCTCTGCTTGAGATGTTTATCAGTCAAACCTGTGATAGAAAAGTAAATTTCTTTTGGGACTGGGATAATTGAAAGTGTTCTTATCTGTTTGTTTGATAAACGGGCGAGGAGATGAGAATGTGCGGTAGATGATGTGATTCATTCCTGTTTTTTTTTTTTTAATTGATATAGTAAAAGTAAAGAGATGCCCATGAACTGAGGCTTTCTCTGCTTCAATTGACACATGCTCGATATAATGTATTGGCCTATCATGTCTCCGTTATGGTTTGTTTTCTTTTTTTCTAAATATACTTTTAATTTGTTATTACAATAATAAAATTTTCTAAAGTTTTCAAATATGTACCTTTTATCAAAATAATTTGAAAATTGGTTAAAAAACACAAATCCTAATTTTTATTTTGTTCAAGACACGTATTTTTTCATTTTTATAAGTTTCACAAAGTTGATTCCTAGCATTTAGAGTGTTCATTGAACAGTCATTATGTAAAATATGTAAGATCTTACAATTTGATTTCATGATCTGACCTTCTGGACCCTTCATCGATTTTAATTGGAAAAGTGATTTTAAAAACCTTGGGAGAAAGAGTGACTTACCATGAGTCGTAAGCAACAAGGCATCAATAGTAGGATCTGAATTAAAAGCTTTTACAATATCAAATCTTTTTTCTGGCTCAACAGATCCATCCAGCCGCAAGTATGTGACACTGCACCAAAACAAAGTGAAAATATCAGATATTTTAAATTTTATCGCTGTACAATGAAGAAAAGCAAAAGGTTGCAGTAAGATATATTTTCCCTACGAAGAACTCTACTAAATGATGACTAGAGCATCTGCTTCTCAGCAGCGAGACATAGGTGGAATGGAAAATCAATTGACTATGGAAACAATATCCACTATCCATTGACCTGTGATATTTGCAGTCTATCATTGACAAACTAGAATTCTAAAAATCATCCCATTAAAAGAATTTTGGGTGTAACCAAGTATCATAACAAAACACTGGAAGGCAGGATTGGATGGGTTACAGGGTTAATGTCATTTTACCAATAATGGCAAATTTCTTTAGTACACATACATCGTAAGTGTGTTGCTCATGCATGTGATGCCTCGCTTCAATGATGCAATCCTTATTGAAGCAATTCAATTATGTGTTTTGATTTAGAGAAATTATATTCCATTGGCAATTCAATGATAAATATATTTTTTTATTCTTGCTGTGACAAATTCCTTTTCTCAGTTCAGGAGGATAATTCATATTATGATGCCTTTAATACTCTGACTAAGCAATTACCTCTAGCAGGAACCTTTCTGCATGCAAGCAATGAAATGGATAAACAAAGGACTGAATGAGTAAAATGAAACCATGGGAAGATAAAGACAAAAGTAACTGCAAAATCAACAAGATATAAATAGCGAATTTGAAGGTATAAAAGGTTAATGAAAAAAATTCCAAGAATGGATCCATACAATAGAATTAAACACAGACGTAAGGCATTCATATAAATACAAAGCACAAAAGTTAGTTTAAAAATAGGAAACAGGGAACTTACTTCTTCATTTGGGAATGAAACAAGTCCCTCTCAATAATGTCAAGAAGGGCCTACATGAAATTTGATTATTAAGCAAAGAAGGATCACAGAAGAGAATGCTAGATGAACATTGTAAAGAAGTAAATTTAGTTGAAGAAAGTCAATTACTTTGTGCTGCGCAAATATCAAGACTCTGTGCTGCCCAACACTCACAGCATTATCAGAACTTGAAGCATCCACACCTATTCCACACTCTTCCAGAATCTCCTGGAGAGCAACTAGTTTTGGAGAGTGGTGAAGCTTATGAAGTTCTGAAACTATGTCACAATTTGGAGGTAAGAGTTCGTGCAACTGGCATACAAGTGATTCGGGCATTTTTTCACCAGCAACAAGCAATGGATGACTACAAAGTTTTAACAAGTATTGAAGTGCCTGAAAGATTAAAAAAAAGTGGCACAATTTAGTTTGTTTGAAACTATTACATCGCACAATAGGGGAAACAACACACTGCCAACAAAAAAACACATCACCTGAAAAACATGTGTGGAAGCTTTTGGTGAAGCACTATTTCCTTCTGGTTGTGCTGAATCATCCAGCTTTACCATGCTTGAAATCTCCTGTCTAACAAGGGAACCGGAGAACTGTTCATAAAGTTTTAACTGGACAGGGCTCAGGTCACAATATCTGTCTTGAATAATTTTCTCTGGCAAGTCAGATAATACTTCATCTTTTGTTCTTCGTAAGAGAAAAGGCATGACCTGTTGTATAAAAAACATCCAAAGACAACCTATAAGATCTCCAACACCCCAACAAGGTACATTCCCTACTCCCTCCATGTAAGGGAAAAGTGAGAACAAAAGGGAAAACGACATCACCTGCTTGTGCAATGCTTCCATAGCAAGTACCCCAGCTTCAGCATCCTTGGCAGAGCATTTAGGATCTCTAGCAGCCAGCAAAGGTTTCCCATAAGTGGCTTGAAACTGCCAAAATTTCATCAAATCAATGATCATACAGGATAATGGATCACACAACATAAGAATGGAATTGAAGCACTTGGTAACATCAGAGTTTTATATAACCAAGCCAAAGATTTTAGTAGTTTGATTAGTCTACCAGGAACAGGAACTAGGAATAAAGGTATTAAGGTTGCATCTTTTTTTATCTAACCAATTTTAGCTGTCTTCTATGTAATTAGCATATGATAGTTTATTTTATGAACATTGATAAAACAAAAGAAATGTCTAAAAGATAAAAATGCTTGAAATGAAAATAACAAAACGAACATTAACAATCACCACCATAATCAAAAGACAATCAAGTGGAAAAAATTTGGAACAAATGTTAAAGAGTGCTAATAGATACTGTGATTGTGTGTGTGTGTGTGTAGGAGATCCCAAACTCCTAAACATGTGAGATAATATCCGATAATAATAAATGTACTCAAAAAACAATTCAAAAATTGGGTTGCTGTTATCTGTCATTAGCTGTACAAAAATTGCTAATTTTCAATAACCAGCTATTGTTTTCATAACAGAATTGTTATTTCCAGCAAGTTGGGCCAATGGAAAAATTAATAATACACAAGTTCTGCACAAGAATCAAGTGCTATAGCATGGCTGAAGGTTCTCAATGAAGTTAGAATGCCACACGCACACAAAAAAAACATATTTTAGGGAAAGGGAGAAAAGATAGGTAACTACATGACATTATCGTGAAAAGCAGGTGCAATCCAAATACAGTAATTTATGGTAGCTAGAACCATCAAATAAAGGAACCACACAGAACATAATTAAATCCATTAATGTCACTTAAAAACAAACAATTGACATGCTTCAATGCTTTCATCTTCAGGTTTTCTCTTCTAATATTCACATACAACAAGTCCATGAAACAACATAAAGTGAACTCAGCATTCAGAAACAGTTCATAAAATAAACAGCTTCCTAAGAACCAAGACAAAGGACACCTACTTGTCTGTCAGTTCCAAGGAACCCTGGCATTAAAAAGTCAAAGAGGGACCATAAATCCATGATGTTGTTCTGTGAGAGAAAGCAAGTCATCAGTCAGAAAAAGAGAATTGTTATGTTCAGTGTGTTTTTGCACTAGTGTCTGACCTGAATTGGTGTTCCACTAAGTATTAGGCGATGCTGGGCTTTCAACTTCTTCACGGCAGCTGTAATTTTGGATTTTGCATTCTTGATTATATGTCCTTCATCTAAAATACAGTAATTCCACAGGGACTGTCCAAGGTAATCAATATCTTTGCGAACTACATCATATGATGTTATGATGACATTGTGCTTATGAAATTGTTCTCGAAGACTGATGCGCTCTTGAGCAGAACCACTATATTGTAGAGTACTAATTAAAGAAGCATCAATGTACTTCTCTATCTCAAAGGCCCAGTGTCCCACAAGTGTTGACGGGCAAACAATTAAAGATGGTTGAACATCCTCACAGTTATTCAAAGCACGAGACTCTGCTACATCAGATGCCACAATTGCTGATGCTTGCAGGGTCTTACCAAGCCCCATATCATCACATAGAATTCCATGAAGCTTGAATCGTTTTAAGAAGGCCAGCCAATTTATACCTTCTTGTTGATACCTGGAAGCACCAAGCATATTATTATGATGGCTTGGGCGCATTAAAAGAGCACCAGTAGAATTAAAAGACAGGATAGAAGATAGAAACCCATGGCAGATGAAAGGCACATCCTTTGAGAAAATTCAAAGCAAGAGTCATGGGATCCTTGCAAATCAAGAGGACATGCTGGTCAAAACACAAATGATCCTGTTTTAACTTTTATGTCTTTGATAGGTTAGTTGGTCATTTTACTGATTAGAGTTATTTAAGATGCTACTTCTATTTTAAAAGTGTACGACAGATGAGTTACTGGATTTAGTGTTGTTGATTTATTGTTCACATAAAGGCAAAATTAGGTATTTTTCTTTTTTAGCTTCTATTAGCATTGAGTATATACCAACAGGGAGACCTAAAAACATAAACATGAAGATCATGAGTTACAAAATATGAGTAAGGGAGACCTAAAAACATACAAAGAGCGCAATCAATTCTGCTGCTAAACTTCACACGATATGAACAGAATATATACCTCCTCAATGTCACTTTTAATTCAGTGCAGAGCTTGTAATCATCAATATGGGAATTGTCAAGTAGTTGCTCCAAAAATTGTGCATCCTCTGCATTTCTTGCTAACCCTTCATTCAGTCCACTAGGTGGGGCTAGGCCTCGAGCTAAAGGAAGGAGAGGAACAAGAGCAGCAAAACTACGTGTCACACTCTGTCTGACAGAATGATCACAATCACTCATGCAACGTAGAAGAGGAACAACCAGTAGCCTAGCATAGGGGACCAGCTCCACTCCCAGTCCCTGAACAAGTGAACTGATAAGCATGCCAGCACCTTGTCTGGCATGGACAGACGTTACATCCCCTAGCATAGGAATGGCATCCTCAATTACAGCTGCCATGACATTTGTTGTCATAGATTTGGCCATTGAGGTAATACACCTTGAGGCAGCTAATCTAACTGCAACATGAGAATGGCGCACACATTTGAAAATGCAAGGGAGAAGTGTGAGCAATTTAGGTTTCAATGCCCCATCCAGTAATGGAGCAATAGATCGCACCACCTGCAATTCATAAATTCAGAGAAAATAATAAGCTAACAAAGCACTCCCTTCAAAAGGAATAGGAAAAAATATCTAGCTTTTTTATTAATCAACTCATCAAGTGTCCTGTCCAGTAATGGAGCAACTTCACTTTTACTCTTGACCTCTCAAGCACTCAAAAGCTTCCTAAAGTCCACTCGCTCATCATTTGTAACAGTAATGTGTTCTTCTATCTATGTAAAGAAAAAAGGAAGATAAAGGAGAATAGCCTTCTCATTCTTCTTTTGATTTAATATTAGAGTTCCTGAAACAGGCGGATAATTAACATCTCCAAATTTCAGTAGTGAGTTGGGCTTGAATTTAGCATCCATACTTCAGTCATGTTCTGTCAGTGCAGTAACTCAGATTTTGCCCCATTGTAACAGAGTAGAGGACTGATTTTAGATTGATTTCCAAAAACAAAAATGTCTAGATGATAAATCAGGATGGTAACCACCTGGATATTATTTATAAGGATTTGAGGATCCTTAATGGATGCGATAGTTTTTTCAAGTTGTTCATCTGCAGGACTTCCGGGCTTGAGAACTTCGACAAGGCAATCCCATAGTTTTGGTAGCTTATCAAATAAATAAGCCCCAAACTTCTCACATAAATGTTTCAATGCATGTTCAGAACCTCGTCTGCTAATAAAGCCCTCAACTCTTGACCGGTCTTCACCACCAGCTAGCATATGAACCTTTGACTTTTGTTTCCCTGTACTAATCCCAAAGGAGAGAAGATCTTGATCATCAACAACCTCTGTGGACCCAATGACTGCAGCCTGGGGTGTCTCACAAGGATCCATGCACGTCAAACTACAAATATTCTTAATCAACTTATCATTTGGGCCAGGCTTACGTGCAATACAACGTGAAATTAGCTCTGCAAGAGCTTCAGCAGCCTTTTGTTGCAATATCTCCTCCTGAAAATGGCATGCAATATATTTCAGAATCCTGAAACAACTGTACTTAGTGATCAAAACTGATTCCGGTTTATGGCAACAACAACAAACAATTGTACTTGGTGATCAAAACTGAATCCGGTTCAAGACGACGACAACAACAACAGTAGGGAGGAAAAAGACCTGCTCTCTTTTGATTGAGGCCATCAGGGGCAAAATGATGGGATTCAGCCGTGCAGGAAGCTCTGACATCCAGACAACTGCAGCAGCAACTAATGCGGAGACAGTAACATGCAAATTACTCTGGAGAACACAAATTGTAACAATAAAGAACAATTTTATCAAATGAAAGAAAATGGAGAATGGAATACTTAAAAATAAAGTCAGAACTCGGCAAGCGATCCAGACAGGGTAGCTGTAGACATCTAAATATCAACCAAATTTTAGATCTAGATAGATGTGTAAAGGATAAATCAGGTGATATTGAGTTCTCCAACTTAAAAGGATACAAATGCTCAATAGAAAAGCATTAGACAAACACTATATCACAACTAGAACATACCTGAACACATTTTAAATAGCCTGAAGTTGTCAGAAGTCGCTGTTTTGATGAATCAATATCATCAACAATGTTGTGTCCAGTAGATTCATCACCAACACCATCATTGCATGATAATGGTAATTTTGATGCAAAATTGATTGCCTCATCAGGACTCAATTTTTCCACATCTATTTTAATAGTTGACAATGAATTCTTGAACATGCCAGATGACTCGGTGACATGTAATAACTGGCTGGCCTCATTGCGCATCTTTGTATAAGTCCTTGAGAGTTCAGAATATGGAAGAACTGAATCTTTTGTTGGAAGTGCAGGGTCAGAACAAGATAACAAATCAAACAGCAACTTCTCAACATGATTGGGAAAAGCAGGCATAACCCCATGGATTTCAGAGGATTCCTTCCCTTTAATCTCTTTAAACAACGATATAAGAACCATTGATGCTACCTGATGAAGTCCAACAACTATTAAGAAGAGAGAGGGAGAGAGAATGGTAATTTAACTTTAAATATGAATGCTACCTGCCGCTGAACCCCTGATAATGAGGTGAGAGCATTCCACAATGGATCTATTACGTGTTGCATAGAATCCCCACGCAACTTAGAAGCGAACATTCCCAAAGCTGAAGCCGTAATCACTCGAGTATTAGTTACTGAGATTTCAGCATCAGCACCTACAATTATCTTGACTGTGCTAGCAGAAGCATCGCCATTTCTTTGCTGAGGAATAGTTTCTTTCTCAAAATCTAAGCCAATGCTGCTGCAAGACTCATTTTCAAGCCTTACTGCTCTCATTTTAGCAGCTGCTTTAAAATGAGACTTTCGAGGTGGAGCCACAGGCCAAAACATCTTTGTAGAATCTAATGGTGAGCCATATGGAGTAGTTGTAAGTTCTATCCAAGAAGCCATGTATGAACTTGCAGCAGCTTCCAAGTCCTCTGCTGGGCACTAATGTCAGCAAAGAAATTTGAAAAAGAAAGTAAAATTAGCAAGTCCTTGTAGAAAAAGTGAGAAGCATAAGAACTAGCTGAAAATTATAAACATTAGAGAAAAATTTCCAGAAATACTAGAGTTAGCGAATAGACAAATAACATTTGAATACAAGAATTAATCCACTAAACAAGCAAAGCATAGAACATCTTAACTGTTGTAGATATTATAAAATGTAATTTTAGTTGGCAACTAGAAAACTTGTCTCTACAAAAATAGTGCTTGTCAAAATTTTAAATTCCAAAGTATCAAGTTACAATTGTAAGAACTAGTCTGACCAAATATAGTTTTTACAGGGACAAGAATTTGCAATTCAACTCACTATTGAGATTATTACTGCCAGGCCTCTAGTTTTGCCAGTATCCTCGGAAGCATATGAATACATGTATAGTGTCCTACTCTTTGAACCGGATAAATTTATGCCTTGAAAATGAAAATGCTATAGCACTGCTTCCAGTGCACAAGAAGTTTATGGAATTGCATACTTTGTTGAAGTGACAGAAAAACAAAATGCGAACAGTGTTTGAAAAAAACATAATGAATCCAACAACGAAATGAAAAATTCAAAATATCTGATGCGCATCATTTCATGCATCCAAGTTATATAGGAAACCTGGATGAGGAGCCTCCAAACCCTCTCTGAACAACGCAAAATTTCATCATTTGATTCCAACAGCAGATTCTGAAAAACAATACGCAGGGTATCTCCCAAGATAAAGGAGGACCAAAATGATGTACTGGATGGCTCAGAAATGTTCCTCTTATAACCAGCTTCAAGCAATCGCTCCTGAAAATCAGATTCTTAAATGAAACATGAAAGAATAGAATCCTCAGCATATAGAACCCCCATGCTAGCATATGCTTAATGACATTAAAGGAAACATATATGAAAGGAATGAGAACATTTGTTCATGAAGAGGTCAAATGAAATAGATATGCAAGAATTCTAGTTTCGGCGAACAAATACTTATGAGGGAACGAAACAAGAGTCATTGCCATGATGATTTGACTTGGTAATTTTAACAAATTGAGATACTGAAAAGGACACTTGAATAAAAAGAAATTTAAAAGATTTACCAAAGTTCGAATCGCTGAATGTCGGACAGATGTGATACTATGCCTCATGAATGGCCATAATCGTGGTGCCAATGTCGATAACATGTATGGATTTTCTTGCAAGTCTCTTCCTTCTCCAACATCATCAACATGTACCACTTCATTTAAATCCAACTCTTGTTTCTCTTTTGATGTTTTCTTGGGAATCATCTCTTCCTGGGAATATATTTCTGCTAGCAGATTCATCACACTGCAACAAAATAACTGATGTTCAAACATAAACTCTTTTATAATATTTAATTGATTCAGACTACCACAACATGTGAATAGTCACACTTGAAAGATAGTCCAAGTTTCAACATATCACCAAAGTCCAATGGATTGAAACCCTGTCATTTTTGACAAGTTATAGTTCCAAACATTAACCAAAGATTACAATCCTCAGCGGATGGAAGGAAGGATATGACTTCGTTCCAGGAAAGGGAAGAACGTTAGCACCGATTCCAAGAAAAAACATTCATAAATAAAGCCCAGTGGTAAGAACAATAAATAAAGCTGAAAGAAGATAGCCATATTGTATATGCCGCCAGTAAATGTTCCCAATGCCAGCAACAATGAATTGACATGGAAATTTTCCTCTTAAAACCGAATCCCCTATGCTTTCAAAGGTCAGGAGTACAAATGTTTTAGAGCGCTCCTGTTTCAAGGTTAACAATGGATCACATAATAGAATGTTGATTTTGAGAGGAGTGCACAATACTAGGAGATACAAACCTAGTGCAAGTTCTATTAGTTGATTTATAGAATAAAGACTAGGAGGGAAGAAGTTGAGGCCCATAAAATCTTAAAGGAAAGGTCACTTCAAAGAAAATCGCTCTACATAAGAAATGTGCTAAGTTAGGCACTGTATCAGCAATCTTTTGCACAATCTTCTATGGGGAGAAAAAGTGATAATCAATGTTTCTGTGTAAATCTGGTGGGTTAGAGGTTTATAGCATAGGAATATGCAAAATGGATTTTTATGTTAAGCATCATCCAAAATTTTGTGTTTTATGACAGGGGGGAGATGGATTTTACCTTCTTGTTTTCCTTCTAGAAGTTAACACAGTTAATCTAGAATCTAGCATTAGTAGAGATATATGGTGCTTTGGCATTTGTGGGATACATGAATGGTTCCAGGTTCAATTGATAACATTTCTTAAATGCTTGAGAAGGCTTTGGGGAAGGCCAAAGACTGCGAGCTTTTTTTTTTTTTGGATTCTAGAATATGCAATCACCACATCAATGGAAGCAACGTTTTGAGGGATAAGAGTAGGTTTTTTACTTCATAGGTTCTTCAGCTCAAGGGGCCTTCGAGTGTATGTAGCAGACATCCAAAAAGACTAGAAAGCCCTATTGTGAGTTTTATTAGCTTCAGTATATCAGAACCATTTCTCTGACAGAAAACATAGGCACCCAAAAAAATGAAATAGGAAAACACAAGGAAACTACAATATCAAAATAAAACTCTTTCTAAAGCACGTAGTCCAAAAAAATATCTTGTGGTCCTGCATTGCCCATCCTCCTTTCATGCTTATTCACTTCTGGTGTAATTGATGCATGATACCAGATGTGGCATTTTATCACTGTTGGAAAAAAAAAATTGCTGGCTGATATTTTTGTAATAAAGACTTGTAAATTAGCATTGCCTAGTGGTTTGAGATATGGAATAGATTTTTTGTGATTTGTTGTGAGGATTCAGAAAACCCAGTATCGTGGAGCTGTTATGGATTTTTGTGAAGGAGTTTAAAAGAAGGAATTTCAGAGTTTTATGAAATTTTGGGCAGAAAAAATTATAGAATTTCAAGAATCAATTTTCACCCATGCAGCGGTTCCAGTATCATAGATCTTTTTCATTTGCATCTTTATAGTCCACTAGTGTAGTACTTCTAGGACAGTTTAAGGTCTCCTTTACCTGACATCAGAGGCGACTGAAAAGTCCTCACTTTTCTTGTATCCAGAACAAGAAAATCATAAGTGAACATGCAATACAGGCATCAGATATCAAGAACCAAGATGAAGAATGGAAACACAGAAAAAAACAAAAACATAGAGGGCGGCGATGGCACCAAGATGGCTTATACCATGGGCACATTGTATATATTACATCATACTTTCCAAGCACACAAATAAGAGTATATAAAGCTTAATTTTACTAGTACTATTGCTTGTCCCCAAAAAAAAAATAGCAAATACCAAGTCAACCAGTGTGTAGATGTACCTGCTAGTGGAAGGACTTAGATCATCCAAATCAAGCAAGATATCCCAAAGTAGCATAACAATGGAATGCAATGTCCGACCCTTCATGGAAACAATTGCAGCAGAAGTAGGTATTAGAGCATCTGCAGCAACTGCCCTGACATCATCATCAGGGTCCTCCAGTCCAGCTTTACAAGCAGGTAGAATGCATCCAAGCAAATCAGGCAGCATCTCCTAAAGTAAACAAAAAGCAGAGATGCATGATGAAGAAATATACAAATGACACAAAAAGAAAAGAAAGGAAAAAATAATTACAACTTTAATGTGCCTGTAAATTAATGAAGTGTATGCATGAAGAGGCCAATGCTTGAAACTCAAAATCTTGAGCATTGGTTGTTTCTCTTCTCTCTTCTCTCCACTTGCTGGGTGTTAGTTCCCTCCTTAAATCGTCAGTACCTTGCCTCGATATTTTTGGTGCATGTTTTTCCAATCCAATGCTAGATATCTCTCTCCCTTTAAGCCCCCACACCATTGGTATGAACAAGACCCAAAAGCAAACCCTCAGGATCAAGGCAAAGATATCTCTCTCCCTTTAAGCCCCCACACCATTGGTGTGAACAAGACCCAAAAGCAAACCCTCAGGATCAAGGCAAAGAGAATTACTACCAAAGCTACCTAGACCCATGAGCAACAGTCTGCTTGACATATTCTTTACAAGGCAAACACAATAAATTTTAGGCCACTAGAAATATCTTTCCCATTTTCCTAACTCTATTGGCACGTGTTTTTTTCTAGCTTTCCATCTCATCTGTCTAAGAAATATTAATTAGAGTTTGCAGAAATCAAGAAAACAAGCTAATTGTCCATGAAACCCTCAAAAAGAGAACAAGATCAATTCACCGTGACATTTTCCAGAGTACATGAAAAGAAAAGAGAGGTACAGTACATAAAGGCAGGAAATCTATGTGTAGTACATATAAGTAGTTGGTTTGGAGGCTGAGAACATTAAAGAAAGCATGTGCATTACAAATGATGAACATTTTGTTATTCAAGGAATAAAGAAACAGAATCTGAAACTGCCACTAATCCAAGTGACCAGCCCCATCATGCCACAAAATAGGTAAAGGTTGTGATAGATTATCTTTCCCAGCCATGGAACCAAAAAGGGGCATTTGGACTTCAAATTTAGTTTCCACTTTCCCAAAGAAACATGCATCGAATATGGGAATAAGGAAAAATTGGAGATACACAGGAATATGGGAATAAGGAAAAATTGTAGATACACAGGAAAAAGGAAAGATCAAGTGGTTTAAAAAGGGCCAGGCATGACCCAAGTTCCAGTCTCAGAAACAAGATACTCCAGTCAGGCCAGCTAAAACCTGAATGTCACAGTAAAGACAAGGTTGTTGAAGCCTTGATTGGGCCTGTTAAAATCCACCCAGTGATCACCTCTTGTTCAAAATTCTCTAAGTTGAAAATTTTGAAAAGTTCAAGACACTGGGTTCTTTCACTTCTAGCTATAGACCGTGCTGTTTTTTTTGCCCCCTTTTGCATGACATATGCAATGAACACTTCAGGGGGTTATAAACGGGTCTTCCATCTCACATTCAAGGGGAATGGAGGGATCCCCTTCCTGATCATACATTTTGGATCTTTCCAAGTTTTCCTTTTTTTCCTACATCTCTGTCCTTTGGGAGGATGACTCCCTAATGCAAAGCACTTTTCTACACATGTTTCATTCAATTTTCTGATAAAAGAAAAATAAATAAACAGTTTGCAATAAATTTCATCAGGTCTAGAATAAGCACTCAATAAACCAAAGAGAGAAAATTCACCTGTCGAACAGCAACCAAATACTTGATGCCCAAAAGGCTTCCATGACGAATTTCCCATTCTGGCCTACGCTGAATAAGGAGGAATGACAGAAAAATAAAAATCACTGAAAAAGCACCAGGTATACATCATACCCAGCATCTCCAACATAATAGAGACTAAAAAGCATGTTGTTATGTGATATCTACCTGCATTTGAAGCAGAATATTCAATGTTTCATAAACTAAAGAGTGATGCATATACTTAAATGCAGCACCTAATGCCTGGGCGCAAGTTTCACGTACTGGAGCAACCACCTGGTCAGATACATAGTCTCCAAAACTGCACAACAGAAAGAAAATTCAAAAGCATCACATATATACTAATCCGAGGATGGAACGTAGAAATGTAGCCCATGCAATAATCTTAAAATCAATACATACATATATATATATATATATATATGTAGTTCCCAGCCAAATAATGGGTGAAAGATTGAAACTTAAGAAGCAACAATTTATAGGCAATCTAAAAGAATCCGCAGACTTACCGATCTAGTGATAATATGCATAAGAAACGAATCGCACAATCTTGAAGAAATTCATTATTTTTTATAGAAGAATGTCTGGCCAATTTAACCAAATTCATCAGCTCGCAATTTTCAGGAGAACTGTTCTGCAAATTTGACTTCATAAAAGAACCCTGATGTTCAGGGTAACCCTTTGACTCTACCATGCCAACAGCTCTTTCAGCAGAATAAGATGCATCGTTAGGGTAAGATTCGGGCTCCATCTTAACACAACTAACGATATCAACTTGGCTATTAACCTGCCCAACAGGCAAATTCCATCCACTATGCTCAAGTTTTACACAAATGTCACTACTACCAAGATTGCTAGTAGAGACCATCATATCCATTGTCTGCGATGACACATCTTCAGATTTATGCCTTTTTGGATTTGGCTCAAACGCATCTGTTATAACTTGCAAATTCAAATCAATTTCTCTCTCTCTTTTAATGGCATTTGAATATTCTCTCTCTCTGAGTTCATCAAGAGCACCATCCAAGCTCAAGTCAGGCACAACCAATCCAGCAGAACCACCATGATGAGTTACGATTTCTCTCAAAGCCATGACACTGCCGTGGCGAACCTCCCAAACTGCCAAAGAATTCTCACACAAACTACTGTTAGACAATGGAACCACAGTACAATCCTAATCTAGCAAAATAAAAACAAAAAACTCACCAGGGTCAAACATATCAACAATAAGTTGTTCAACAAAACCATGGAAAGGCCACCTCCCATCTCCATCATGTTCCAAGTTGTCTTCTTCATCAGCATCTGCCTGCATAGAAAGAAAGCATCAAATTGCAGCTCGACACTGATCAGGTAGAACAGGTAAAAGCAAAGGAGGTATAAGAAATATGACTTCACAACAGCAAACAATGATAATATAATTAAACTATGATGGATGTTTTGCCAATGGTATTTTGTCAGTTAATCAAACCATTTGGCACGTCCCATTTTGTAGATCCACTTTCCAGAATAACACTACAATTCTGTTACCTTCCAATATTGAATTATTATTTTATAGAACAAGCATTGAATTGATTCCATTGACTAAAGCATATTAGGGTAGTCTCCAAATATGTCTTCCTTAAAACTTTGGATTCACAATGATGGAGAAGTTATTCAGTATAAGAAATGATCTTTTCTCTTACAAATGTTTCCAATTCCTGTTGCTTGATGTTCTTGTCTCTCATATAAACTAGATGAAGGACAGAATAAAATATATAGCTCTTACAAATGGCTTTTGCAACCAAGAATTAGCTATTTCTTTCAATTGTAGTTAAAAATAAAAGAACAAAAAAAGGACTCTTGGTAAAGTCAAAAGACGAATCATTGTAATCTGTATGGAGAATTACAATTTATAAGCCCAAAGATTTCTGGCGCATACCCTTATCCATTGTACTCTGATACTGTTTTTAAAGCTTGGTCATAAAAGACCCTTTCAGTCTCTCCAGTTTTACCCTTCTTTAACAGATAAGAAATTGTGAAAGAGAAATGAATACCACATGGAAAATTAGACATTTGCCCACTGATACGATGTACTAAAGCCAAATAGCTCCAAATACCTATGAGTGGCAGCCAATAGGCTCTAGACACAAAACATCAAAACAAGCAGGGAAAAAACACTACTTAACAGTTCATTCTAGTACATGTGGTTTTAGGTTTGCCAGCTTAAAAGATATCTTGCTCATGCCCTTGGGCTTGGCAAAAGTCTGCAATAAGTGGGCACACATGCACCTTAGATTGATGTCTGTCTCTCAAAAACATCTTCCTATTTGAAAAACTAAACAGTATGCCCCTAAGATAAACCGATCAGCATTAAAGACTTTAAATCTGCACAAGTAAGATAATGAAAGAAAATAAAATGCTCCCTAAAGAAAGAAGAGCGATCAAATGCATGAAGGAAACATGCATAATGGAGCACATCATTTACTTCTCAATGTCTGGATATTCAAGAACAGCTGCACATAAGCTGTGAGAAGGGGCAGTAAGAGATATATTGTGGTACCTTTTTAAAGCTAAAGGAGTCTGTATTTGAGCCCTTTGGAGTTGTACTCTGAGGACAAGCAACCTCTGTATCCCCATCCTCTGACCAACTTTTCACTTGGTCTTTGGAATTTATTTTTGCTTTTCGCTTTAGGAGATTCAGCTCCCTTGCACTTGGTCTTTTGGAAATTACACTCGGAACCATACTTGCAACAAGTTGCTGGATGTTATGCACAGACGGGTGTTTGTAAAATCTATGATCTAAACCGTTTCTTTGAGACTCTGGTCTGTGGACAACAAGGTCTTCATCTTTTATCACATCGTTGACATCCATAAACTGCTCACAAACATCTAAACCTGCCACAAAATTTCAAGGTGTCTGAGCGAATTAACAAACACTTCAGACAATACGTCGGCAGTCCATTACATCAAACAGACATTCAGGAGACAAGCCAGCGAAAAAGATAGCATATTGAACATTAGTGATTTTCTTTTTCTTTTTCTTTTTCTTTTTCTTTCTTTTTTTCGTGTGTGGATGGGTTGGGTGGGGCAAAACATCGGAGAATATGCATTTTCCCTTCTCCAAAAGATGAAAAGCCAGACAACAATTGCACAGAACAGCTGGAGGGGTTAGTATATTCACTGAGGACACTCCTCTACAAACCAGATGCAAAGCACCATTACTAGGCAAAGAAAACAGTATTTTGTCACAAAGGAAAGAAAGGTTATAATGGCATCAATTACTAACCCAAACGACGTCGCAGGTTTTGTTTCTGGCGAGCCAATCGCTCCCGTGGATTCTTAGAATTGTCATTTGCAATGTCATATTCCTGGGATCAAAACTGATATCAGATCTTGACATAGATGCACATACTTACATATCAGAACATGGACATTTGAAAGGAAATGGAGCTAGCCAAGCTAGCACCAAGCAGTTTTGTGTCATGCAAATTCCTTGCGCATCCAAAAGAAAGTGAACCACCCCAAATATCTAATAAAGGGACCTGTACAAGGAAAGGGGATGGGTGCAAATTCCCAATGAATACCCCAACAGATTTGTGAAGATAAAAAGTTATTACAACTCAGAGGTGCAAGTTTGAATGATAAATGATGAAATTTCGAGTTTTTTTTATAAATTTTCACAGCATATGAACAAGTCCCCTGATCAGCACCATCAGAGATTACTATTGTCCTAGTAATGCTGATGAATATGCAAGGTGTGGATACCAGCAATGTTCATTACTAAAATAATTCTTCTAGTACTGATGAAATTGATAACAAGAAAAGCCTAAAGATTCCTCTTGCTCCCTCAAACCAAATCATTTTTGCTTTTTCTTTTTCTTCATTTCTTCTTTTTCTTTCTTTCTCCCTTTTTTTTCCTGAAAAGTATTCTAAATATCAATACACGGGTAGTAAATCAGCCAACTTCAACAAAAATAATATTTGCGCAGGACTGCTAGCAAGTTTCCTTCACAAAATGCCTTCTGTTGATTTAACTTCATACATGAATTATCTAATATAGTCAATGGCACAACTCCTCAAAAGTATTCATCAATTTTGTTCCATAATGCAATCTAATAGGAAATTGGCCCTGCAAACTCTTAAGTCATCCCCACAGAAAAAGTAGTCTTCCTTTATTTTTTTTTCCATTCACCAAAATGTCATGAGGCAAGTTAACAGTACCTAAGCAGTCAGGGAAAAAAAGGAACTGAATACCTAAGCATTTGTATCCACCTAAAATAAGTTGAGTCCTACTGAAAACACTGCTTCTGTTTGATATACCCAAGCACCACTCTACACATCATTCTGTAGAGCCAGGTTTTCCAAACTCAAATGTCATGCTCAATTTGCACTGCCAATTCCTCTCTTATGGCACCCCACTCAGCTAAAGAAATACCTTGAAGGAGGGAATTCAATCTGTAAACCTATCTAATCAGGTTATGACATTAAGAGTATGGGTTCAGAATGCTAACCATCCCATCTGGAAAGAATAATGATGGTTGACCAATCTATGTAGAGAGCCTCTCCTTTATACAGATGCATTATGATAGATTTGATGACGGTTAAACGCATCATAAACAATGAAGAATGTGAGTTCTTTATTGTTTCTTCACTTCAACTTCTCTAACCTCTTACATCTTTATCAGCATTCCAACACTCTCCAAAAAGAAAAGGTGGCTGGAATCCCATTCCCTTGGTTCAACAGTCAGGAATGTACCCCGTTCAATGGTTTAAGTTGTTTTAATGTTACAGTCGATCAAATAACAAACTTTTTATAATAACCAGATTCACTAGATAGAAAGCGAGCATGTAATCCCTTCCTTCTTTTCCTAAATATAACATACAATCAAAAGATAAATATAACGTATAATCAAAAGGAAAGATTAAATAGTTGAAACTGAATCAAATGTAGTAATTCCAAGAGAGTTATTGGCAAATTGGTGCTATCTTTTCACAAAGCTGCTAAACCAGTGAATCACCTGTTATTACACTGTTTTCAGGCTAAAGCACCAAAGGAGTTGGATTATGGAGCCATGGTTGTCACTTGGGACATTCCAAGCTCCATAGAATATGAACTGCAAAAGCATCAAAGGGCAAGGTTCTTTGGGGGGGTATCAAAAGATACGGGGTTGTATTCAACTTCCACTACTACTTTTTAGGATGACATGCAAAGAAGAAAAGACAAAAACATTGACAGAGAATAGATTTCCTTTATATTTCTGATATACAATGGAATCTTTTATCTAATGTAGATGATGCCAAACAGTCTGCTCATTCATTATTCTTATAAAACTTCTTTTGCTAATCAAGAAAAATCCAAAGAGCAATGGAATTTCATGACAGTGCAAGAAACAGTATTACCTGACCTCCAGATGCCAACAAAGCACCGAACTCCAACACTTTGTTCATATCAAAGCTGTTAAATAGGTGAAGAAAAAATAAATATCAATGCACAAGAAGACTTTTTTTTTTTTTGCTTGTACACTAAATAAAATAAAATTCACATAAAATAAATGTAAAAGAGTGCAAAATCAATCAATCAACAACCTTCTAAATAAACCGTTTGATATTATTTGAGAATGAAAATTAGGGCATGCCACCAAATCTTCAACATGACCCGAAACCCCAATCTCAGACATCTTTGTTTCGACAGAAGCAAATAAGTCAGTCAAAGAAATGTGCTTGACATTCTGAGCAATAGCCCCAATCGCATGAGCAGCTGCAACTCTTGTGTCCCAGTTTTTACTATGGAGATTTTGAGAAACCTATTTTCACAAGGCACTTATATTAAGACTTGATGTCAGTGGTAGCATTATTGCAAAAATAAAATAATATTATCATCATCATTTCCAATATAATTAAACTGATACATTACAATGAATAGAACCATTCAATAATAGTTCACAAGAAAAAGGTCACCACAAAACCACGATATCATAACCAATTGACCCATACAACAGGAGATTAAAGCAAAAGGGTCAATTCAATCTTTGAAAATTACATCAGAATGACAGGCGAGCAACAGCTCATGTCTGGTACACTTCAGCTTAGTTACAATTTTCTCTACATTTACTGTACCCGCCACTTTTCACTGGTTAGAGAGGCCCTCTTTAATACATTAAGAAAGGATGTTCATACAGGACAGAAAGATTTGGTAATAGGAATTTAGAACACATACATGCTGGTAAACAAAAACCACCTTGACCAGACAAGAGTAAATAACAATGTTGAATCACGCTGCCATTTAGCTATAACATCTGGGACCGTAATCTGATATGTCTATCATCATCTTCACTCATACTAATTGAATCCAATTACTCTTATACCTTATGCACCATATGTTTGCATAGCAAACTTAACTAAACCATCACAAGTTAAAACCCCTCCCTAAATTATCCTAGGAGGTGCCACCTCTCCCTCCTTAAAAGCATACTTTATACAAACATTACATCTACAAATACCCTCATCTCAACTAGCACAAAGTATACGGAATCTCAAAGAACACCCTCACAGGTCTTTAACTATTCCTTAGAAGCTCATGATCAAGGCTAATGGTAGTTTATATCAAATAATGAATCAAATAGGCCACGCATCAAGTGCCTTTTTTGGTCTGTAAAGGAGTTTTATATGTTTTAGGTCGTTTTCTCATCACCAAAGAAACTAAGAGAATTTAGTCAGTACTAGATTTAACAGCACACATTCTCCCATTGACTGACTAAGATAACTCTAAAATCAAGTAATCCACCTTCACCTTGATTTTGAAATTTTCTTTCTGTTCAATCACATTTTATCATCCCCAGCTCCCATCCCAAGTACCAATAAAAAGTCATGGTGAAAAGTTTCACAAAAAGCTCAAAAGTAGATTGAGGTCCACATCACCTCCTTATCATTTCCAAAAAAGACATTTTACCCCTTATGTCCTCTTCCATAGTAAGCATTCTCCATCATTGAAGCATAGAAAAAAGAGCACAAAGAACCCATTTTCACTAACAGTAAGTCCATTTTTTTCTAAGAAAAAGTATCAATAGATCCCATACACCATCTATGAATGCCTCAAGATAACATATGAGCACAATTTAACTCTTAATCCAACTTAGTAAAACCATTTGCGATTCTCTTCTTCCTTGAAAACATATATATAGTTCAAGAAACAACAACATAAAAGGCATTTCAAGAAATCAAAATACAGCATGATACCAAGGGCCTCAAACCCACCCAAAGAAAAATAATACAAAATTGGCAAATTTGCCCTAACCTTGGTGAATAATCTCCACAAATCACAGCCACAAATGTTCCTATTTCCTAATGATGGCAATCCAACCCAAAAGAATTTATTTCGTTTTATATAAGAAGATATATTATAGAAATAACAGAATGGCCGGCCATAATAGAATTCAAGCGCAAGTCATCTCTAACAAAAAGAAAAAAGAAAAGAAACAAATCTCAATACAAAAGGTGAGTAATCTAGTCCCACTAAATTTATGCCCACAAAACTCCTCTAAGAGCCCTAAAGCATTATGCCATGAGGAAGGAGCAATATTGACGCACCCCACAACAGCAATCTAGTCATGAAAAAAACCTTCAAAATCCTAACATTTCTCCCCATCTAGTTACACCAAAAGCTTACAAACACTACATGCTGCCACAGAATCATACCCATCCTTTTGGCCTAATGATTCCCCAGATAAAAAGATCAGCAGCAAATTTGATCATTAAAGAAGATTAGGTGCTCAAGAAGATCCTTGTAATCAATATCAGGCACCCTCTTTGAAAGATTCTCGCCAACTATCCACTTTTCCATTTTCCAAGGATCAAATCCCACACTGTCCAACCCAATGGAAAATGCTTAACTTGTAAAACATGAATCAAGCTTCTGAAAAAAGCATCCAAAACTTCCAGATCCTACACTACAAGTCACCCTTACCTCACTTTAACCCAATTTGATCAAGAAACATAGCCAGCCCACCTCTACTTCCAGCCAAGCTTTAAACACAAACCCAAATGCTAAAGAAACATCTAAGGCATGGTTGTTTCTTTTGATTCACGATATGAATCACAGGATGAATCTTATGATTCAGTCACAATTCGATTCCATTCAGTACGATTCAGTAAATTGTACGAGTCAACTCAAATCAAAAGGTAAAATGCATAATTTTAAAAGAGATGGTCAGAATTGGGAGGCTTTAGTCTAGAATTAATGGATCATAACAAGGTATAAGAAATTTTCTTTAATAAATAATTCTACTTGAAACTGAAATGAATTATATATTTAATTTCACAAAGATAGAAAAGGGTGAAAGAAAGCAAGATTCCAAAGACAACAAGAATAACAAAGGTGATATCAACATTGAGAAAGATTATTACTTTTTATTAAAACTAGGACATCTAGTAGTTTAACTAGTTAGAAATGGGTTATTTATTTAACTTGGTAAGGAGTTCATTTATAAAAAGGTTAAATAAATAAGCCATTGTTTATACATAGGGCAGTCCAATAGGTGTGCAGAAAAGAATGGTGCAACTCCAATGAATAAGATGCATACAAGAAAAGCACGCCTAACTAAAAGTTCCCCTCTGTTGTCTCCTAGGAGATTGAATACATCACTAGTTCTTTTACAAATTTGAAAGTCGTAAAAACTTATGGGGATAACAGTACAAGAGCACAATGAACGCAAAGTTCCATTTTTTTTAAAGCATCCACTACCTAAAGTGAATAGAAATAACAGAAATGAACAAACTCTTGAGCCCTAGAACTTAAATTCCCAGAAAAAAAAAATTCATGAACTGTCTTAATAATTCTGCAAAGCCACAGATAATCCCTCAAGAAACTCTTTCTTTTCACCAAAATTTTATACGTGGGGGCATGGTATTGAGCCATTCTTTAACTGTCAAAAAAATCCCTTCAGAATACATTTACAACTGGCTGAAAACAACACTAAAGCTCTAAATTTCCCTTTGAAAGAATCACATTCTATCAACACCTATGCCACAACACCATATGCTATAATGGGAAATAAAGAGCTCATAAGGACATTCCAGATTAAAAGCCCTATCCTACACATTTATAATTAATGTTTCATTCAACTCTTAGCGGACATAACAATTTCACTTTCACTCTCAAATCATAGCATTTGCGAAGCAAGTTCATGTTAAACAACCTTAACCTTTGAAAACCAACTCATCTGCATAAAAGATGGAAAACAAAACCTGGCATCTCAACCATTAAAACCAAGCACAACCACCGGCTAACTACTTTTTTTTTAATAGGGTCTTCTAGGCAAATGAAATTGAAATGGTGCTAACAAAAGATAAGCAGTTATCTTTAAAGAATCACGTGCATAAAACGACCACACAATAAGACAGGATAAAAAATTAAAAAAAAAAACCTTCTTCAGGAGAGAATGCAAGTCTTGAGGATGCGATTTCGCAATATCCCCAATCTGTTTCGCAGCAGTCAATCTTGTAGCTTGTGTCGAACCAGCTTCAAAAAAAAAATTATATATATATTTTGTTCGTGTAATTAAACATGAAAACTTGAACAAAATCAAATCAGATCCAAAAATGACAATTAGAAAACAAAAACTTACTGTCTAATAAAGTGAGTAGCCGATTGAGACGTGAAGATTGTTGCTGAGCCATAACATAAACTCAAAAACCTCTACCACTTCCAATTCAACTACAAAACCGCATCGTTATTATCCAAAATTCACTCACTCACTCACTCACTCCTGCTACCAATTGATCCCAAGAAAAAACATTCAATTTCTATTAAAAAAAGGGTTTCTTTATGCGAAAAATGCTTGATTTCAGTATTTTATTAAAATGAGAACGGAGAATTCAAAGGATGGATGATGCACGGATAAATGCATGTGTATTATAGAAGGGGGGGAGAGAGATTAGGGTTACCAGACGAAAAAGAGAAGCAAAACGGCAGCGTGTGACGGCTGTAACAAAATGGGATAACGAAGCTACTTTTTACCCTTTTCTCTCGTGTTATCTGTTTGTTTATGAATATAAAATATGAATTTGTAACGCAAAAATATATAAATGGATAGTGTGTAAACTTCCGTTTCATCCCTATAGAATCATCGATATTCTAATTCTATCCTATAAACTTTTCAAATATAGTCCTTCTAGTTTCCAAGTTTCCAATCTTGTCTTAATGCCACTTTTTTTAAAATTCGATTTCTTAATTATTATTTTTGCCGGGTTTTATGTCTCTCAACTACATTATACATATTATTATTTTGACAAAAAAATAATGAAATAAAAATATGAAAAAATAGTTAAATGGTCAAAGTACAGTATCAATTTAGGTTAGTCCATCTTTATATTGTTATTTTAATATATCATGTTCCTAAATTATATTTTCTTGGCTCGAAATATACATCGGTTAAGAAAATAACAAACTATAGCAAGAGAAAAAAGTTTATTCTTTTACTGAAAATTTTTAAATAAAAAATTACAAAATAAAATTCTTTTTAATTTTAATTTTTTCTTTATTTATAATGTTTTTACTAAAAAAGCCGTGCCTCTAGTATGACACGTGTCACGTTTCAGATACATAAAGTTTGGACATGTGTCATGTTTCAAATACATCGCGTGTTCTGTATTAATTGTGGTTTGTTGTTTGCCACGTTAAGCAAGGAAAATAAGTTATGGATATAATAAACAAAAGTAATAGTAGAAGCACGGACTATAATGCTACAAGGACATTTAATACTTTAATTAGAAAATATGTCAATTTAGTTGTTACTGTAAAAGGGGTTCTGCGCTCCACGAGGCTAATCTAATTTTTTCGGACGCAAAAAATAGATGATAAAATAAGGCAGGTGTTTTCAAAAAAACAAAAAAAAAATCAAGACTTTACTCAATAATTCGACTGGAATTAATCAGCTCAACTAATTTAATAACACAAATAAAAAATATGACTGTAAATAAAATAAAAAAATTATAATGAAAAAAAAGATAGAAAAACCCAACCCAAGCCCTTATAAGTTAGCACGTTAGATATCTAACTTGATCATGACACTAAATTGATCGTGACACGAGAGTATCCTTACACACAAAAAATTAAACAAAATAGTAAAGTTTAATTATCAAATAATTCAATGTTAAATAGTAAAATTTAAAAAAATACAATGAAAAAAATCAAATTAGATTAACCCGCTAACACTGTGATCATAAGCTTAAAATTGAAATGATCTCATAAAAAGAAAAATAAACACTTTAATTCTCAATAAATCAAATATCAAAGATGAGGATGAGATGAAAAATTAAATGTTGAAGAATCTTATATAATAACAAATAAATAATAAAATGAAAATGTTATAAACCCATTAAAAGTAAAATAGATAAAATTTCAAGCTTAATTTGTAGTAAACAAATATTGATGAATAAAATTAAAAAAATATAATTTAAAAATATTCAAAATCCTGACTCGGGTCCAACCAAGCTAGTATGCAAAATCTACAATCTAGTTGTGATATTAAAATGACCTAATCAAAAGCAAACTAGATAAAACTTTAAGCTTAACTATAAAAAAAAACTGAATGGTAAGGTAATCTTGAATAAAACTTTAAGCTTCATTATAAAAAAAAAAAAAAAAAAACTGAATGGTAAGGTAATCTTGATCATTTTTAAAATAAGTGGGAAATAAAATACAAAACAAATAAAAAAATAACGGGGTTTGATTTTTAATTAAATAAATATTGAATAAGAAAACTAAAAAAAATGAGTTAAAAAATAGAGAAAAAACCTAGTAAACTCACTCGAATATCTTAAACTCGAGTCAATATCTCGAATTCATAACTCGTGAAATTATATACTTGAGCTCAATTAAAAATATTAATTTTCAACTAATTTAATGTTAAATAATAAAATCAGAAAAAAATTAATTTAAAAAACTTACCGAGATAAAATATATATATACAGCAATCAAAAAAATAAATACCAAATCTGATAAGAAAAAAACTCAAGGAGGGATGAAATCACAAAACCAATTCAATTTTAGAAATTATCTTAAATAAAATAAATAGTAATAAAAATATCAAGAATCAAACTTGATATATAAAAAAATTAAATGGGGATAAAATCAAAATAAATTTCTAATTTTATAAATTATTTCATATAAAAAACAATAATTAAAAGAACATGAATCAAACCTAAATTTTTTTTTGTAATTTTCATTGTAAAATTTGAGAAATAATAAGGAAAAAAAAAGAAAAAATATTGCATGCTAGCCATTCAGACTGCCGCATTACAGAGGTGCTACTATGATGAGTTAAGATCATATTTATTTTTTAATTTTAAAAGTGTTTTTAAAAATTACAAAACATCTTTATTTTTAATTTTAAATTAATGTTTTTTTGATATTTTTAAATTATTTAATATACTATTTTAAAAATAATAATAACTACACTCTCAAACTCTCCAACAGGCATAAATTTCTTCACAAAAATGGCATTTGATGATTTAAAAAAAAAACCAATACACGAGGCCTACGAAGAGTATAGAGTCCTCTAATTTCCCGGCACTTTGTTAGGCATGCCAACTCTTTTTTTCAACAATACTGTTGCTAAATTGGTGGGCCTTGAAATTAGCTGTGGTGACTCCGATGGTGGCTTGGACTCCAGGTTAGGTTGGTTACTGTAAAGGTTCAATTTGAGGAGGATAATAGTGGTGGATGGTCTCTTTGGTAGAGGAAATGACAGTTATGGTGATTGTTTTGTTCATCTTTAAGTGATGGTTTGTTTTGATTTTTTTTTTTTAATTTTAGGGATTTGCATAATTAGGCTTTTAGATTTAACAACCAAGATATCACTAATGCTTCAACTGTTGAGATCTCGGAAGATCCTACACGCAGGAATGAAAAATTTTATTTTTTATTTTTAATTAATATTTTTTATGTTTTAAATTATTTTAGAAGGTTAATGTTAAAAATAATTTTTAAAAAATAAAAGGTATTATTTTTATATATTTATAAATAAAAAACATTTTAAAAAACATTCATAGCCACATTTCTAAATACTCTTTTAACTCTAAAAAAAAGCTTTTATTATTGGCATGAGAATTTATTTTTTTAGAAGAAAGCCTTTAAGGCAAGATAATGAATTAATTTGTGTTTGATAGTGTGGTTGCAATTGCTTTTCAAATAATTTTTTATGTCAAAATACATTTTAATGATTTTTTATTTTTTAAAAATTATTTTTGATATCATCATATCAAAACGATCTAAAACATATTAATTTTTACTTAAAAAATTAATTTTTTAAAAAACACGGTGCAAACCGCATTCCCAAACAAACTCTTAAAGGCCGTTTGTTTGCGTGGTTGTTTCTACATTGAAGCAATCACAACAAATATTATGTTTGGTTATGTTAAAAATGCAATTTAATTTTGATAGGATCCATGCAAATTCACATTTTACACGCGAATTTGACGAAGCAGCTCCTAACTATTTTTTGAAATTTAGTATTTATATGCACGGTACAATTCACTTGCACTATTTTCGTGAACAGTGCAATTTCACTGGCATTGTTCACGTGAATAGTATGAGTGAATTGCACTCTCCGCGTGAATAGTTTTTTTCAGTGTGTTTATTTTTTATATATTTAAAAAAAAACTAGTTTAGAATAAATTAAATTTACTCGCATTATCATGTAAATAATATTTTTTTCTGAAAAACTAGTGTAAAGTGAATTAAATTCACTCGTAATGTAATATCAAATCAATTTTATTCCTGATAATATTTTATCTAATTTATTGCATGCTCAAAAAATTATAAAAATTGTAGTTCTTGTCGAATAAATTTTATACATAATAGAATTGTAGGTGGTTTAATCGAATAATAAAAATATTTTATATAAAGTATTATTTATTTCATGAAGTAGCTAAATATCAACATTTAAATTAAAAATCATTAATATTAATATATATTTTAAAATTATTTTATAATTTTAATTTTAAAAGTATTATTAACCAAACACATTAAATTATTTTTTTTAACTTTAATTTCAATTACAATTTTAACTAAACACTTATTTTTTCAAACCAATTTTAATTAAAAATATCTTCTCATAAAATATTTTTTTTCAAACTACAACCAATACTAAATATACTTCCATGTTTACTTGAATGCATTGTAATTAATCACTTGCCTTGACAACAGCAGAACTCCCACACAAGTATGCGTAAAAGTATGCTCATTGGAGAATGTCCGGCAAGTCGGAGAAAGGACGGCCTTTGTATATTGCCAGTACTGAATTTCCATTTGAACTCGGATGGGTGATGAGAAAAATGCTCATTGCATGCCTTTGATCCAGAGGAGTTGCTCGTCGGGTAAACTAATCCTACAATTTGCTTGTTACTTATTTTGATCATGTTTGGCAACACGATGACTGGTCAGGCTTTTGATTTTTTTCCTGTTTTGATTTTTTTTTGTTATTAGATAGATTTGAGATGATAATATTAAAAATTATTTTAAAAAATAATAAAATATTATTGTAATATATTTATAAATAATTTTTTTTAAATAACCGTTAGTTATAGTAACAAATAAGCTTTTTGGATGAGTCATTGAAATATAAAAATTTAGGAGAACTTCTTAACTTAATTATGTTTTTGGATAAAATGAATAGTTATTTCTATTTATAGACAATTATATATATATATATATAAAAAAATTAATTATTTGACTTGTGCTATTTCATGGATTGGATATTTAAAAGTAACAATAAATAAATAGGTGGGCTTTTCCAATGCCTTTTTTTGCATGAAAAAATCATGATAGATAAAAAAAACTTATACATGTGCTTAATTAAATAAATTAAAAATTATTTGTGCTAGTAAATGAAAGAAAAAGAAGTCATTCAAGATAAAAAACAAAATTAGAAAAAAATAAAAATCAAGGTATTTTATCTTACAATATAAATCATGAATATAATTATGTTTAATGAATTTATTTATTGAAATTAATTTTTTATTCAACTAAATGCTAATAGAAACATAGGTGGAA